GTGTTATGGCTTGTATTTCTTGTGGGTAAATACCAAGTAGAGGAATTGCTGAATCATAAGGTATTTCTAAGGAAAGGCCTCTTAACTTAAGCATGGTGGTGGTGGGTGTGCTGTGGAGTCAATTCTGAAACATAGCAACCCTGCATAGGGTTTCCAAGGCTGTAAATCTTTATGGGAGCAGAAAGCCTCATCTTTCTCCCTTAGAACAGCTGGTAGTTTCTAGCTGCTGACCTTCAGGTTAGCAGCCCAACTCGTAATCATTACGTTCCCACAGCTCTTCTATGAAGTAAGAACTGATAAATCAGGTATAACCTAAATAAAGTCTCTATGCCAGATTTTTATATTTGTAATCTGTCTCTGGTGTCTTTAGGTTCATCTTGGTACCAAACATAAGGCAGTTCAACATCAGGCCCTTGCCCTAAACAGCTCTCGATGCCAAGAACTTGCAAATTACTACTTTGGTTTCAATGGCTGGTCAAAAAGAATCATCAAGGTAAAGCATGTAGCTCTTCGATGATCTCTCTCCTTTTAATGCTGAAATCCTAGACTTGAGAGAAGACTTGAACTGGGTGCCGGGAGGCGTTAAGTATCTGAGCATTGGCCTACCATAGGATCTCTAATTTTAGTGACTTGGATAGTGAGGTCTCATTTTCTCCAGTGTTTGAATGGTATGTAATCAGAAATGCTTGTTTATGTCTAGTAATTCCTTTGTGATTCCTACCTGATTTTGAAGCTATAGGACACTTCAACTATGAGCTGGAGTTTACTTTTTATTTTTCATAATAAAATAAAATGTGTTAATATTTCTCATAAGAAAAGGTTTTGAAATCTCCTTTGATATCTAAGAAGAACCTTTAATGCAAATCCTCACAGCTTCAGGATCTTTCTGACCTGGACGAAAGGGAGAATGAAGATATCATGGCGGCAGCTCAGAAGCAAAATCTGAAGTTCTTCTGTGCCCTAGAGGTGGTGTTGCCAGCCTATGAGTGCAGGAGTCCTGGCATTGGCATAGCCGAGGGGCCTGTGGAGAAACAGGAAGAAGGTCTGTTTCCATGTGGGGATAACTGCGAGGGCAGGAAGGGGGGTTTTCTTTTAAAACTCCTTTCAGATGCATTATCAGGCCTCCCCTTGCTAACCTACCATCTGTATTGTAAAGCAGAGTCTTTGTGCCTTACAGTACAGAGTTTTACCTAATCCCTAGGTAATTATACCTAATAGAAACTTTCACTTTGAATTGTGATCCCTGCAACCTACCAGAAAACTCTAAGCTGAAGGTAAAGCTGTTTTCCAACATTGGATGAAGGACCTTGCTTTATGTTGAAGTAGTCCTTCAATTGGGAGCACTGTTAAGCACTGGACTGCTAACCACAAGGTCAGCAGTTCAAGCTCACCAGTGACTCCAAGGGGAGAGATGCAGCTTTCTTCTCCTGAAAAGATTTATGGCCTCAGAAGCCCTATTCAGAGTCACTGTGAATCAGAACTGACTTGATGGCATTTAACAAAAGCAAGTCCTTCAAATACGCATCTCTCGTAGTGCTCAGTTATCCCAGCAACACCACCATATAAAGCTCTAAATCAGCTTTCATGTATATATGTTCAGTCCTTTGCTTCCTCATGGAAGGTCATGAGTAGAAACAGCGTCAAGTATAGATACTTTGGTTGGCACTGAGTTTTTTCCTAGAATGCATGATACTCAGCCTTAGGGTTTTAAGTGAGCAGAGCTGTTGGTGAGTGGATACTGTTGGTGATACCCAAGGAGACGCCAGATCATCTGCCTTGCCACCAAACTTTTCTGAGTGTGTGGTTCCAGCCTTGAGACACAGGCAGGCAGTAACACTGTTAGAGTGTTCCTTCACCTTGTCAGTTTGAAATCTCTGTGGGATGTGAGATTTGTGGCAAGATCCTGGGCTGTACCTCCCTTTCTAGTGCTTCAGGGACTTCTAAAATAGAGGGGCCAGTAAAATTGTGTCTACCTCCCGGGTATACCTATGACAGAACCTTTCTACCATACCCTGTGTGATGCTTGCCCTTAATCACAGCGATCACCATCTAAGAATAATGGTTATGTTTTGATTGTTTTGAACACATGACATAAAGACGACCATTCAGAAAATAATTCTAAATCCATTTGTTTGG